ATCTTGGATTCTTTGATTTAAACATCATCCTCTCAGCTAACACCACGCTAAATTTTAGCTTATATTCTCTAAAATCTTAATATTAAAATTTCAAAATGACATGAGGATTGCTCTTTGCTACCACCTGGCCAAATATCAGCTCAGTATTTTTTTATTTTTTTGCTAAATTAGCTTCGGTGGCCATCTTGGATGTTGTATTTACATTCAGATTTTGTTAAAGATTATTCTTGGCTACTATTATATGCATTTCAGCTGTGTATTTAATGGCTGAATTGTAGCCCTTTCTAAAATTAGTATTAGCATTTAGCTTAAATTGGAAATAGCTTTAAATTTTGGCTTTGCCTTTTAAATTTAGTTGTGGAACCATCTTAAATTGTTAAATCCAGGGTAGTTTTTTTTATTTTGACCCCCCCTAGAAAACTGCTTGGCCACTCCTTTCAAAAAGGTCTAGCTCCGCCCCTGGACCCGCTGAAATAAAAGGCGGGCGATCATGTAACAAAATTTGTGTTTTAGTAAAAATATCTGCTGGACCACTGGAAACTGTTGTAAAAAAGCAACAGCTCCCGCTTTGRTCACAATTTATGATGGTCACAAAATATGACGTAACACCGGTCTGCACGGTCAGCGCGGCCAACGTGACGGGCTGCAGGATGATGGAGGGCTGTGATTGGGCCCGGCTCCTCTGAAGATAAACTGAGTGAGAGTGCCAGGTTGTCTGGATTCATGGAAGCAGCTGCTGCTGGTCTTTGTGTCTGAAGCGGCGCCGCTGGTGTTTTCTGCTCGCTGCTCTCTCATCCTCACAACCGACGATTAATCAAACCCCTGACAGATAATGTAAACGCTGCCTATCAGTGTGTAGTAGCTCCAACTGAGACTTTCTAATAAGCCTTTTAAGACGGGGCTGGAGACAGAATTTTGTTCAGTTTTCAGGGAGAAAAGAGGGCTGAGGGTGTGTGAAAGTTTTAATCTGCTGTGTCTTTATAATATTCTCATGTCCTTGGAYGTTTCCTCCTGTCAGGTGGAAGTTCGTATCCATCTGCACGCTGTCACCTCAGAGCGGACAGCACTTCCTGGGGCTGGTGACCCGRCGGCGGGCTCAGAATTATCGTCCTTGAGAAACGATCATTTTTCACTTATTGCAGCTTTTATCTTCCTGAGATCTGCAGAGGCCAGCCCGTTTTACTGCTCCGAGTTCAAAGTTAGCGTGACACTAAAAATACATCACGGAGTCTTAAATCAGCTTATTCTGACAGCAGACGATCAATAACCTGATGATGTCATCGCCCCGTGAAGCCGAGACCAGATTCATTCATCAGACGGAAACCTGTTTGTTCACCATGGAAACAGGTCCAAAGAACCAGTGTTCATCCGTAAATATTTCTCTATTTTCACAGCAGGTTGTAAATTTAAAAACTCTGACATCTGTATTCTGGTTAAAGGAGACCTGCAGAGTTTCACGGCATCAGTTGATGTGAGTGATTGCTTTATTTGAAGTCACACAGGAAGATCTTCGCTGCATTTTTAGGATTTGCATGGATTGAGATTTTTTTCTCCTCTTTTCTCCATGAGAAATGAGAAAAGCTGCTTCGTTCCTTCGTTAAGCTTCAAGCCTCTCCAAACAAATGAAACCTGACAGCTCAGATAAGTTAGCGAAACTTTCAGGTTAGAAAATCCAAAATCAGATTAGAAAATCCAAAATCAGATTAGAAAATCCAAGCTCAGATTAGAAAATCCAAAATCAGATTAGAAAATCCAAGCTCAGATTA